ATAAATCACTAGCCAAGAACACAGGGTTAAACCTCCTGCCTAGAACACAGGGTTAAACTTCCTCCCATGAACACAGGTTTAAACCTCCTCCCATGAACACAGGGTGTTGAACCTCCTGCCAAGAACACAGGGTTAAACTTCCTTCAAAGAACACAGGGTTAAACCTCTTTCCATGAACATAGGGTTGAACCCCTCCTAAGAACACAGGGTTAAACCTCCCATGAACACAGGTTTAAACCTCCTCCCATGAAAACAGGGTTAAACCTCCTTCCATGAACACAGGGTTAAACCTCCTCCCATGGACATAGGGTTGAACCTCCTGCCAAGAACACAGGATTAAACCTCCTGTCAAGAACACAGGATTAAACTTCCTGTCAAGAACACAGGATTAAACTTCCTTCAAAGAGCACAGGGTTAAACATCTTCCCATGAACACAGGGTTAAACCTCCTCCCATGAACAAAGGATGTTGAACCTCCTGCCAAGAACACAGGATTAAACCTCCTGCCAAGAACACAGGATTAAACTTCCTGCCAAGAACACAGGATTAAACTTCCTTCAAAGAGCACAGGGTTAAACATCTTCCCATGAACACAGGGTTAAACCTCCTCCCATGAACACAGGGTGTTGAACCTCCTGCCAAGAACACAGGGTGTTGAACCTCCTGCCAAGAACACAGGGTTAAACTTCCTTCAAAGAGCACAGGGTTAAACCTCCTCCCATGGACACAGGGTTGAACCTCCTTCTAAGAACACAGAGTTAAACATCCCATGAACACAGGGTTAAACTTCCTTCAAAGAGCACAGGGTTAAACATCCTCCCATGAACACAGGGTTAAACTTCCTCCCATGAACACAGGGTTAAATCTCCTCCCATGAACACAGGGTGTTGAACCTCCTTCCATGAACACTGGGTTAAACCTCCTCCCATGAACACAGGGTGTTGAACCTCCTTCCATGAACACAGGGTTAAACATCTTCCCAAGAACAAAGGGTTAAACCTTATTCCATGAACATAGGTTGAACCTTCTCCTAAAACACATAGTTAAACATCCCATGAACACAGTGTTAAACCTCCCCCACGAACAGAGGGTTATAAACCTCCTCCCATGAACACAAGATTACGCCTCCTCACCTGAACACAGGATTAAACCTCCCCTAGAAACACATCCGTAACATGTGCGTCATATATTTCTAGTAGCATCCCCACTTTGTAAGCATTATAGGGGCTATGGACTTTGTGCATGAGAAATCCTATCTACCAGAATCCTGAAATCAAAATTAGGAGTACTTCTGAAATTAAGTAAAGTAGCATTGATTTTTTACAAAAATAACAACCTTCAGTGCAGGTTGGTTTCAGGATTTGTTGCCAAACCAAATGATTTTATCATTTTATAGTGCTCACAATAATAAGTGACAGGTGTTCTGAAATATAATACAAAGTGGATATGCAAGTTCAATGTTTATATGTAAAACCGGATTTATTTGACACTGTTGATGACATTTCATTTTGTAGCGATTTGTACGTGCTAAGTTTTACGCTAATCTTATATTCAATAAAGCAGTGTCACACCTTCAATGCAATTAGGTGCTTTTTATTTACTTTACAGTGAAATATAGAAAAAAAGCTGATTAAATTTATACACCGTTCCTCTTTTCAATAAGTTTTGTATTTTGTCATTATGTGGTTTACTAAAGCCTAATCTCAAAGCAAATATTAAACGGTTTAAAATGCAATTCGAAAATAATATGTAAAACTATTATGATGTATGTGTAAATAACAAAAAGAATGTGTGTATTACGGTGCCACGGTGCAGTCCGAGGGATTAAACGACACCCCTTTACTATATTAATATATATCCAGTTCAAATGCTAATGTGGACGAATTTATTATTATATTAACTTGACTTAAATTTGTTTTTGTCGCTGATTGAGGCATTTCCAACTTGATATGAGCATTGAACCTAAATCTGAATCCGAGTGTAAATCTCATTATTTATGTTCAAAATCCACTAAACCTGAACACTAAAAAATGTAAATTGGCAGAAGTCCGATGTATGTGCATTAGTAATTCAAGCTTAAACAATGTTGCCGAGAAGGAATTTATTTATTTATTTATTTATTTATTTATTTATTTATTTATTTATTTATTTATTTATTTATTTATTTATTTATTTATTTATTTATTTATTTATTTATTTATTTATTTATTTATTTATTTATTTGTTGTTCTCTTTTGTCAAATTTGTGAAATCCTTTTGAAATTTGTTTTTTTACCTTCTTCATATACTCTTTTTCTCTGATCAGTGTAAAATCAGTCATGTGGTTATACTTACACGAAACATGACGGTTTTGACAGCAGGAGACGTTTCGGACAGATATAAACTTTAGGAAAAGAAATTTACTTTTCGAGACAAAGTACTAAGAAATGCATACACATTTACCAGATTACTACAGGATTCAGTTTTGTGATTATTACACCCCATTGTATGACCAGACTTTAATTTATACTAATATTTTGGTGGTGATGGTTTATGGTTTTTTATTGAAATGACATTTTGACCCAATACATTGCTGTTTGATTAGTGTTTTCCAATACCATGTTGTATGAATTGATTATTTTGGGTAGCTTAATGAGGCATTTATCTCACAATAGCTAAATAACTCGAAAGCCATCATAAGAACGTACGGAGATTGTTAATTTCAGTCTACTTGGTGATTGGAATTACGTAACCACAATGGCGCGATTGTGAAGATTTGGACCCATGTATCTTATAATAAATACGAATTGACTGCTCCTCGATTCCTCACTGATGCCAAACTAAAGATCACTGATTAAGAGTGTCAGTGTTTGTGGAGTCAACAAAAATCACACCCCTGTAACATTAATGCAAATATTAATTCAAGGTGCAAGATTGATTCGTTAAAATTCAGTGAACATTAAATAAAACATGATTACAATACCACACACCATTCAGTTTGTAAATACTGCCTTAAAAAACAAACAAATAAATGGTCATAAAAATGTTGAATCGGTAATCTTTGGATTATGATGGCCAGCTTAAGTAATCAATATAAGTGACAATCACAATAAATAAATAAATAAATAAATAAATATTGAAACCAAACTTGACAATTATCAAAAATATAAGTTATACCTCAATCATTATATGTTTTGTTTTTAAATAATCTGTAACAAAAAAAAAAACATGCTCTCGAACAACTGAATGTACCCTGTGTTTCCGAACAAAGGCAATCGTTTTAAACACGCCGTGCCCGTCTTGTACTGTATTTACGACATATCACTCATAATGCGCCTGATTTGCAATGTTGTTGTTTTTATCAACGACGGGTGAACGGCTACTACGAGTAAATGAACTCCACTTGTTGTGTGTCAGTCAAGTATGATCACAGGGTTGTCGTGCAGTTTGTAATCCCCCTTAACTGTTTATATGTTTAAACGATTAACTCCAGAAGATATGCAATGAAAGCAGGCCAGATGACGTTCAATGCTACGCTGTAAAACCAATATGGGGCGACTAAATAAAAGAGAAATACGGAAAGTAGAGAATCAAATCGGATTGCGTACAATGATAAATCAGATCAGGAGACGCCTATTGTACGTGTATTCTATCGATTTTTAACATAACTATAAATTAGTTCACTAACAATCTGGGTTAAAACTCGTTGCATGAAATCTACAGGGACTGTAATGAGCACCGCGTTGAGGGACGGTGTATTAAGGTAGCGAGAAGGGTATGGTGACGTTTTGGAATAAAGCATTCCCTGTATTCTTAATATTATTCTACCATTATTTTTATTTCGGCCATCCAACGACAATTGTCTTAGTTTTTAATGTAGATTCAAAAACAGAACATAATTATGACTATATGAAGCCAAATTAGCTAGGTGGTTTCTGAACTTGAGATGATTCAGAGGAGTAATGAGATAGTTAATTTTCGCAATTATCTACTGTTTGCAACCATTTATTAATGAAGAGTTTTTTGTTCAGACAGAAGATAATTAATTCCCCATTATGTCGGAAGAGGAAAGCATATTTGCAAGTGTTAAATGTACATGTATTGCATTATATTCAACGTATATATGCTGCCGGTAAACACCAGCGGACTTATACATTATTATTCAACAATTAGGTAGTTTTATTGTCGGAAGTTTTGCTTGTTGGTGTGGTTAAATGTTATTCAAAACAAAAATAAACACAAAGTTAATGAAACACATAAAAAAACTATGTACGATACGGTTTTTTCGCACAAGTGAAATATTAGGCACTGAAAAAAAAACAGCAAATAAAACAGACTGAACGATCTCTGTATCATTTAGGTTAAAACACAAAACTGCATAAGCACACAGCTTGCACGCCGAGTCGTATCAACCCCCGGCCTGAATCACGATACGTCTCTTGTCTCGCTTTAAAAATCACCAGGAAATTCACCCAACATTTTTGGAAACTTGAACGACATGAGATTTTTAAATTCAAATTATTGACTTATAAGTGCAAGCTAAGCAGTCCGCTATCATGTACCGTTTATGACAACCAATCTCCCGTACAAACGAAACGTGTAAGTACTAACCTGTTGCAGAATCTTCCCATTTACTTTCTCCCAATCTTCCACGGCAATAATTCATCACGTTTAACATCCAAATCATCCCGTTTGAACGCCATACTATATGCAAAATATCACCACCTTCACTGAGACTTAATGTAGTTTAATTCCTGGCGGACAGCAGGAAAAATATGAAAAATGAAAATTTTTACTGAAATGTTTGATTGTGCTAAACGATTTGTCTTGGTGAAGTCATTGTTTCCATATCTTATCCTTTTTGCCTTCAAGCCCACAAGTACACCTCATTGTACTCCTTAAATTAGCATGTTAATACCCGATGAGTTAGGGGGTCGCATCACTAATCTCCGCTTTGGGATACCAAGCCAGGGATACCGACTAAAAAGCAGCACGGAAACATTCTCTGACGCTAGTCTTCACCAAGCTACAAGGGAGAAAGTGGCACCTAACCTGGCAACCGGCACCTTCAGCACACCACTTGAAAGCGTAGCCCAGTTACCACGAGTGCTGTAACACTGACGGCGAATGCTCATCGGCTCTCAGCTCAACACGATCGCAGCAATGGATCAGACAGGTATGCACACAGTGATTTTCATATTATTATACCATGAAAAATCAGGGTAATATTATTTGCCGCGTTTTTTTTCTCTATGGACAAACTTTAATGATTATTTGCGAGACGAATTATATTAAGACATCCGGGCAAGTTTTATCCGACAGATACGACTGAGCATAGTACCGCAACAGACTTTAGCAAATTTCCTACGTTTTCTCGTTCCTGTTATTGTTGGTAGTTATATAGTCGGTTGAGTATAAACAGTTGGTTTGAGAGACAGAAACGGTGTGTATATGCATGTGATTTGCGACACCATTGGGGCAGATGCATTGTTGTGACAGCGAAATGCAATAATACGGTAAGCGCAACCACCAACCCGTACACGGGATTTACCGCCGCGTACAAATAGAGACAACTCTTCACTCGTCATGTATTTTGTTAGCACAAATGTCAAATTTTGTGATAAGCACGTACCCGGTAGTTTCTATAATACACGGCGGTCAAACGCTCGTCTTGTATTGACTGGAGAAGTTTCGTTATGATCACATATGAAGGTCGGTGTTATTTTTACCTTGTGGATTTTCATTATTGTGAACATTCTGGTCATATTTCCACTCACTTAAATTAGCCTTTAGAATGGAAGCATACGAAAATAAAAACATTCTCCCTATATTAAGTGTGAGATATACAGTCGAATAGGGATCACCATGGAACGGTCGTAATATATAAAGAATTGATCATGAAAATGGCGTCTGGTGATGGAGTACATCCGTCGATCGAACTCGCGATTTTTATCGTAGAGTACCCGAACTCCCGCCCTTCACTGTGTTCAAAATAAACACTTTCATTTTTCTGGAATGAAGGGCAGCCACATAGTGGTAGTTGACAAGGGCGTATATTGCGAGTCAAATGAAGGATATATCAGTATTGTACTATACTTGGACAAAGTCGTGTCGATTCGCCTTAATTACCAGACTGGGCCATCTCTCCATGGAACGCTTGGAGAAATCCCTCGTGCCTTCAGCAAATTGTGAGTGGAGAGTTGTTTTGCTTCAATCAAAACCCGTTTTGTTTTCAAGTTGATTTTCATTTTAACACCTGGACTGATGTTGTTGTTGTTGTTGTTGTTCAGGACGTTAGTACTACCCCAAGTGATGTCGTGAGTCTGCTTTCACCACGCTGTTATTTTTCTGGCATTTTTTATTCACTCTATGGATCTTTTCTCCGTTTTTTCTTCAATTTTTGACATCTATTTTCGATTAATGATTGTCTCTACACCGCCCTATTTTTACTTCTGTTGTTTAAGAGTGACTTTTCTGTGCTGACTTGGCTTAACACATACTGGTTGGGTTTCTTTGCTGTAGCTGCTGCTGTAGCGCCGTGACAAATCGAGTCATCGAAGCCACTATAATAATAGTACATTTCAAATCGAACGTGCTCTCGTTACCCCACAGACTACTTGCAAATGTTGATACGTCCCACCACCCGTTCCAGTTCTATACTGCAATGATTTATTCAGTATATATGCTCTCTGATTTTATAGTTTAAATGTCCAGGATCGATGTTAAAATCCTATATGAAAACAAGAAAACAAACACCTGTTTGCACAGAATAAATCAAATTCGCCATATTAAAATGCAGTTGTCAGTAAATTACCAAAATTGTAAATGAAAAGAGTCTGTTCATTTCAATGGTTATACTGTTCCTTTACAGATATGGGTTATATTTGACTTGTTATTTTTTCATATATAAATATATATATAAGTTGTTGAGTTAATTTTATTTTTATATCTTCACAAACTTGAACGGGCAAGTAATACACATACGTTGTACCGACGGTGTTTGGCTGATTCGTAACGTATTTTCGAAACACACCCATTAACTCATTGTCATATTTAGGCTAATTAACTGTGTGGTTAATAACCGATGACACTAATTAGAAAGTATACGTCAATAATTAATGGCAGACTTTACTGGATCGGTCATGGTCATGACGGTTATATCTAGCTCGGGGCACGTTGAAGCCACCTCACTAACTACAGCAAATGAAAACGCATCCACCAAATGTGTGTAAGATTTGTTTTAAAGTTTTCGTTCTTTAAATATATATATATATATATAGAGCCATTTTTCGACCGTTCCAGTTAGATGAAAACAGATGTGTACCAGATATATCAACTGCAAATATCACTTTTAGTTTTCCAATGCCAACAAATGCATGTATGTTTATCGATATGTTTTTCAAATATCTCCTGTCGAATTTCTTTAATCTCCTTAAAAACATAGAAACTGGCAATGCGATGGGGAAGTTATGCAGAAAGAAGGGCATAACTGTATTTAGAACGAAATATATTTGTGTCTGTATGAACTACACCAAACTAACCATCCTTATTAGCTACCGTTGACAGCCATTCACAATATTTAACGTCACGGTGATTTGTCTTGTTGTGTGAAGTCTAATTGTTCTGCTTTGTTTCCTTGCGGCGTCGGCTGCTCTAGATAATTACTTCTGAATTAATCGGTCCTTTTTTTACTAGATCCCTTTCTTTCATTCTTTAGTTCTTTCCCACGTGAAATGCCCACTTGAATGTCACGTATGTCATTGTTTTACTTAATATCATCGATAGCCAAGCTATGAATACTAACAATCTTGCTTTCTGCTTTCAAACCGGATTTTCTTTTCGCCAAATTTCCGTTGCTATAGTTGATAAGTATTTTTTGTCACGATTAGAAGATTTATATTCCTGGTGTTTAGGATCGTGTCGCTATCAACACTATTAGTTGAAATTGGAATCAAATACGTTTCATTATTCCCAGTATTATTCACACGTTATAATGTCCATGTATATTGTATCTTAGAAACTGGGATTTACAAATAGTATAACACTAACAGACAGCTTAAAAATCGATACGTATTGTCCACAACGTTGTTACGTTCATCTAACCCGTAACCCGCTACGTCCAAAGGGTGACAAAACGGGACAGTTCAATAGTTGTCGAAGGTTGATATGTTTACCAAAGTAAACAAATAAACACACACGACTTGACCGATGTCTGGGCGTGGACAATAGCGGTGTTTGAATGGTGATTATATACTGTGTCTTGTCAATATGTTTAACACCGTTTGTAACATTACGGGAACTGTCATATAAAAATGAACAGTGAATGACTCAGAAAACGGTCTAAAGTATATTTCTGAGTTTTAAGAATTGCTGAGTATGGCGAGATTAATATAAATATGTTATTTGATAATGTGAAAGGTGTCCAATTAAGCAGTTTATGTGGAAGGTGATTATAAATGTTAATTATTGATTTTAAACACTCGAAAAAAAATTACATATACTCTCTGTTGTACAAAATAATACCTCAAATTTTAAAATAACCTTGCCAAATAGGTAGATTACGTAATCACCATCTTAAATTAAGAAGAAATATATTTCTATGAAAAAAACACCTCAAAGCACGAGTAAATTGGGAATCATGGTCAAAGGCGTGTCATATCGATCTTAAATGTTTGACTTATCCTAACATTGAACGTAAGTTTGAATATTTCACTAAATGGTTGTATAAATATAGCATTAAAAAGACATATTTCAGTCAGATTATTTGTTTGTTGAACTGAATCCATGCAGTGTATATCGACATGTGTTTGTCTAACATCTGTTACCTTTAACGTGCGTTACGCTATTCAGTGGCCTTAACCTGTTACCGGCATATCTATTATATACAGCCTCTAAATCAAACAGAGAAGAGTCAAATATACAAATAGCAGTATTTTATGAATCTCAACAATGGTAAACAGATTTACGCATAATACACTTTTGTGTGGGGGAATTATAGGCACGATGCTGTGTACCTAACAGCTTTAAACATGAGGTGTTGGTTCGTGATAATCTGCACATTCGCGCGCTCTCCTTTTCTTTCTCTCGCTGTCGTTTTTCCCCTCAATATTTTTCTATCTCTCCCGTAAAATTGAATGGAACAATAAAATATACGGCTAGAGAGTTGTCACCAGCGGGAACGGATAATTATGAGAGTTCGTATTCAGCAACAATGCTTACTCCTAACGGCAGCGAGAGAGGCTGGAGCATCGTTTTCCATCGACCGCTTTGTATACTTTGACCTGCTGTCAGGTCATACTGTTTGGTCTAATTCACGAAATATAAAAATGGAAACAAAACATAAAAAATCTTGCCATGGTGGTATGCATGTATTTCTGATTTAGTGACTTTACTTAGTTCCGAGTATCGCGTTCCCGAGTGAAGAGAAATGAACGATGACTTTTTGCCAGCCACACTTTTTTAACGGGAATTTCGCTGTTTCCACTGATTCGTGGGTACAGCCTCTATCGACGATTGCCTTCGTGGAAATATGTCGGCGTACTTGTTTGTGTTTATGGCGAAACACCTACCAGGTTACAAATCAGAAACAATGTATCATTTTCGATGGTGAAATGGCTAAAAGTGAATGGTCGATAATATATTTAGAGAGCGATTTGTAATATACATTTCTGTCAAGATCCGCTGTGGGTGCACCATGCCCATCGTGTTGTCTACGTATTCTACGGTACACTGCCGCTGGGTGGGACGACCCATCGCTGCAATTGAAGGAAACATGCGACCATATTTATTCATTAACCGGTTGGTCAAAATAGACACGATTTTCGTAATAACATTCGCATCATTTTTGTGGTTAAAATTTACCCTGCAATCAACACTTTAAGTGGACGGGTTTTGTCAACCATATGCTGGGCTCAGTATGAATGGTTCATATGTCTACCATTATAGCTTTCATTCCGTGCGGTTTCACAAAAACAAATTAAAACTATCTATCCAACATAAGCGTGGTTATTTCTTCCCTCGGAATATAACCAAAGTGACTAGCGTTGTGTCAATTTGAAATACCGTATTACAAGCTTCTGGTAACAGAAAACAGCATTGTAGTCAATTATTAACAAAACGTGTAACAATATTAGATTAGAATTGGTTATGACCGGGGACAGTCCTCTCAAATGAAAA